TTTTTAATTATAGGAAATACGTTTTTCTAAGGTACATAAACTTTTGGGATTGACTGTATACCCAATACGTCCTTAATTGGGGCTGTGGTTTACTACAAACCGAGACATTAATTTTAGAAATATGGTAATATATCTTAAATCATAGTCAGATCAGATATTAAAATATCGTTGGCATAACATTAGATACTAAAAATCGTTTTATCACCTATTGATCAGGCACGTTTATTCGAATTAACACGACAGAGGCGGACAGCAATGTGAAATTCAAGCTGCCCGCAGTAAAGAGGTGGATCACTTGTCATTATAGACGGAGGTCCCTCTTTTTCCCGGTTCCAGTTTCATGACCAATTCTGGTCGGGGACGATGGATCATTCTTGTTAACGAGACTTTTTGCCCGGCTCTCAGGTGTCGTGGATCAAGCGAAAGGACCTTCAGGAGTTACTAACCGTAGGGTTGAAAACGTACGCCAACGACGAGCGGTTCCAGGCAATTCATTACCACCACAGCGAGGATTGGACTCTTCAAATAAAATACGTTCAACCGAGGGATGCCGGATTGTACCAGTGCCAAGTATCCACCCATCCACCCACGAGTATATTTCTGTTCCTCGAGGTTGTCGGTAAGCGTGAAATTAAACACCGATATAACCCATTTGCGTGCGGCCTCCGTTCGATTTTCGGCCGTGCTCGTGCATAGATGCACACGTAGATACGTACACGTAGTGTATCAACATCGACCGTCGCTTGTGACGGCCATAAATACGCGCCCCGTTTTTTTAACCGTCCCTTTTATTAATACAATTTTCAGCATCTCGCGTGTTATTTCCGCAGATTCGATTGAATGTCCGGTCTGTCATTCGACCGGCCGAATGGAATAAATTAAATTCTTGTTCATTCCGTTGAATGGCTAATGAAATTGAAATAAACGTTTCAAAAAGAGCTCTTTTCACCATTACGCTGCCCGTTTTCGCGCCCGTGAGAGAGCATATTCAACAACGGCAAACAAGCATTGGGAAAATATCGTTTCGATTACGCGTATCAATCATTTTTCCTCTTTTTCATCAATTTCAACGATTCGATTTATACATCATCGTCTATGCGGTCCATTCAGAGAGCGCCCACTCGTTTCTTTTATTCCTAACTGCGTCAGCGACAGTGAATATTACATACCACGAATGCACGATTAAATAATGCAAATACAGTAGGCAGAAAAGATGAGTTTCTTTTCGTTGAGTAGCCTTGTACGTGGGCGCGAAAAGTGGTGTAGCTCTTTCTCAAAGGGCCACGTAAAGAGCATCGTGGCTATTTAGAGATAGCACACTTTGTCCGGCTTGGTGATAAGAGGCCCAAGCAAAAGAACATCTATAGCGACATTGCTTTTTCTTTATACACCAGCTCTAGGAGAAAGAGTCCGGAATCCGACTGTTCCCTTCTACACCGGATCGTCTGCTTCCAGATTATTTTCCGATTCACCCTCCGCTTTTTCTCAACTCTTTCGTCGTCTCTATTACTCAATTTTGTCTTTGTTTCGGTTCAGTGTCTACATTTTCTTTTTTATTTAGGCAGACTCTCGTACGAGAGCCATATCGTCTGAGGATAGCGAAAGAGCACTTTTGTCTGGATTTTATTAAGCAGTCGTCCGATCAATAGCGAGAAAATGCTTTTTATCAGACGCAGGAGGCAGAAGTTCCATGAATTACGATGTTCAGTCTCAGCGTCGCCGTTTTAAGCACCGCATTCTCTCTCTCTCTCTCTCTCTCTCTCTCTCTCTCTGTATGTCTTTATCTATGTGTATCATGTAGTATTTGCATTTAGATTCCAGTTTTTAGAACTACGCTCCTATATCTGTGCCCATAGATCCATGTGCTTATATATCTATGTTTAAACGTGTGCATTTCATGCGTGCGCGAATATGCCCCCGCGCTAGCGAGCACGTACGAGTTTGCTATCTAATTTTGCCCTGGTTTTCGGGATCGTGTTTTTCTCGTGACATCTGACGAATACGTACGAGAACCTTTCTCAGGTGCTTCTAATATTTATACTCTCTCCTGTCTAGAGCTCGTCCCCGCCCGAATCTGGGACGCGTATTATTTACGTTTCCTCTCCCACGCTTGAAATTCATGGGCCGAGATTCTTCTGATCTGAGCGATGATGTATAGCGGCATCGGCGCTAGGACGTTTCGATTACAGCATTTTATATGCTGCTAAATGGCAACGACGGTTTATAACGGCAGGACAGGGACGAATGTTACTCCGGATGCTAGACGAAATATCCTGGATTTCGATGATCGATTCGTGTTGCGCCTCCCTTGTGTAAAGCCGATTCGCTAATTACCGCAGTGTCCCTCGGACAGGTATAAATTTATACGTTCGGTTGTTGCACCTATTTATTTTCTCTTTTGCTCGCGATAAATTACCGGTGCCCATTCGTTCGATCGCCATCGATACACTTTCGAACAAGGAATTGTAAGTGATATTGAACATCGAACTAACACACCATTTTCAGATACTTTTCTAGAAAATTTCTTGAACGCTCCTCGAGATATCGTATCACAGTTTCGATAAAAGATATTTCCGACAATAGAGCATCGGTTTGTCTGGTTCTGATTTGCTGGATTTCTCTTCGGTCAATGCGCGACTTATTTTGTAGTTCCCGCTTTAAGAAAACTATGAGAAACCAGTCGGCTCCGAGCGTCTGACTATACGCGCGCTTATTCCCCTTAAGCATGACGTGCATAGCTATACACTACTGCGTACGGTTCCACAGTGATCCGCGGCGTGGTGAGACATGGCGAGCAGTTTCAAAGACGAGGCCGCCGAGTTAATGCGATTAATCGATTAATTCGAGTTAAGAGAATTAGCATTCGCAGGACATTCCCGTCGCTTTTGGTTATCGCCTCCGGTAAAAGAAGTGAGACTAGATAGGAAGAAAGAATTGAATTCTGTAGCTTGCTCACTAATTAAAACGCGATCGAAGTGAATGGATTGAGCCAGCCCTTTCTCGAGTCGACGGTATGCACCACCACTCGCGAGTGGCTTCGTGGCTGAAAATCAGATTGAATTACCAGAGAATAAGAAGTTGGTAAAGGCGTATTTAACGAGGGCAGCGACTCGGAAAGAATTTATCTTGCCTGGTAACGTCGGAATCAATAACGATCGTCGGCATTATGGTCGAAACGAAGATAGATTCAAAAGTTGACCTTAATGACGTCTCATTAGTGCGTAATTAGTCGAGATAAATAAAAAAAAATATTATTTTTTCAAGAGATAAATAAGTTGCTTCGGGCTAAGAAGTACGTCGACCTTTCCAAGTATGCGTTCATGCAGCCGCCGCGCGGATCTAATTTTAATCATCCGATATTGCTACATCACCCTTAAAACTTTAAACACAGACCACAGAAGGGATTACATCACACCACATTTAATAAGCTTCTCAATTTCCACGGGATAGTACCTCGGCCGTTATTTCTTTTTCCCCGTGGAAATTAATTAAGAAACTAAATTACAAACAAGATCTCGGATAATACGTTGGCATAATTGAACGGACGGAAAGAGAGAAATGGGTGGACAGATTAAAAAAAAAAAAAAACGAAAAAACTCTATGATAGACCGAGCTGGTCGGTGAAAATAGGAATGCAGAAGAGAAAGTGGAGAAAGCACGAAATTGGTCAGCCAGGCGAAGCGTATAAACAACAGAGCGCAATCGTTTTAACGGGGGCTGTATTCAAGTCACGGGGTAAAATCGAGATGAAACCGGGAAACGAACAATCAATGGAATTCTGATCGTCCTCGAGTTCTGACGTTTTAATAAATTTCGTACACGTCCTTCTAGCCGGTGACGAATTTGTTTTTATTCGCGAGCATCGTCTAGCATCTGACTACGGTCAGGACTCAACGGACGGAATGAACGGTCGATCGTGATTCGAGAGGAAAAGAGTTGCATTCGAAGCGAAGCGAGAGCTTTAAAAGAGCGTGCCTGTATCACGCAGGGAACCGCTTAAAACTCGACTCACACTCTCGTTCACGTGCGTTCGTCCGTGGCGCGCCGTGAAACGGAAGCCCCGACGTCGAGGGACTGAGGGTGAACGGGCAAAAGTATATCCGGTGGAGGGATGACGAAGGTTCCGCCCCCATGTTTACAATGTTCCGTCACACCTGATCCTATAGGAAGCTCACGGGTGCCATGTCAATCCGCGTCGGTGAGCGGACAAGCGGACACGACGTCGTTCAAGTAAACGAAAAGGTAGAGATGACTAGGTGTTACAGTAGGAGAGAAAGAGAGAGAGCTGTCACACTCGTGGTAGGACGAGGGGTAGCTTAAAATTCTCCGGGTAGCGTCAGCCTGTGGGAGAGAGAACACAAAGGTTGCTTGTTCTATAGAGCGGTTAAAAGAACGAGCTAGAACGGGACAGCGAGACAGAGAAAGGAGGAGAGCGAGTGAGATTTTGTACGCCATCCCCGTATAACCCTTAACCAGCCGCACGATGCATACCTCTTTCCCTTTCCCTGCCCCTCATAACCGCCTCGGATTCTAGTAAACAATATGGGATCGGACGGTAAGCTGCTCACGTCTGACGCGTCACGTTTTACCATTTGCAGAGGCCAGAGCCGAGATAGCCGGTCCCCCGGAGAAGTTCGTGAGGCCGGGTAGCACCCTGCAGCTTCATTGCCTAGTGAAAAAATCGACCGAAACGCCCTCCTATCTATTCTGGTTCCATAACTTCCGAATGATCAACTATGACACCGATCAGGGGGTCAATGTCAGCACGGATCTGAACGGGCGCGAGAGCTGGCTGGAGGTACCCCGTGCGTCCGATCGTCATTCCGGAAATTACACCTGCGAGGCGAGTAACGCTCAACCGGCGCGGGTGCTGGTGCACGTGTTCAAAGGAGATAATCCAGCCGCGATGCAGCACAGCATCGCGTCCTCGCCATCTGTCACAGAGTGCACCGCGCTATTGATGATGTTCACCACGTTAAAGCTGGTGTTGCACTCGAACGCCACGAACTGACCGTAACAGCGTGTGCTGTCGACTGGATAGAAAGATGAACGTTGCGATATTTCAGAATAGGGAAAAAAGTCCAAGGGAGAGACGAGAATAACTGTATGTGTGGTCTGCGACCTTTTTACGACTTGACAGGTGCAGTTTGCTCCAGGAAGCTTTTTCTCGCAAGTGACTCTAGTTAGACGTGGAATTTCTAGACTACGATTTTCTTCCAAAGGTGAGAGAAAAATTATCGTGATACGTAATGATTAATTCTTAAGGGTGGTGATTGTGACGAATTTGAGCTTGAGTCGAGGAGTACGGTTGAAAGTAGAACAGGTGTGCATGCTATGCTCGCGTATGGACAAATGGGACAAAAGTATGTAACAAGTTAAAAAGGTAACGTCAGTGTAAATAGCGAAACGAGTCTAGTGTGTATCGTTAACGTCGCGGATGCTCAAGTAGCCACTTTGAACAACGCCCACGTATTCCTTGTATCGCGTGAATAATGGAGAATCATCGCGAGAGACAAAAAGATCCTGTCTCTATTTGACTGTATTTTTAAACAGTGAATACATATTTCATGTATTTTTAAACAGTGAATATAAATTTCATCGTGTTTCACCATTCACACATATAAATGCAGAGAGACGCGCGTACCTACTACGTGCATGCGTACGGGCTCAAAGAGCTCTGGCATTTCACACGCCACCATCTCTATTAAGCGTCGTGCGATACGTGTAAATGTGTAAGCCGTGTGTAACTATCACGATCGTAAAAGTGTAACTGTATAATCTGTCGTGCGACGAGTGGCACGATTAATGGCGATAATCCTGTCGCGATCCGACGCATTTTACCAGTACAAACTTTTCAACGATGTTCCGCGGACTACTGGTAGCGACAACTTTATGCAGTCGATGGTGTCAACTATCTCTCTCGACCTGCGCCCGGAAAATTTGTTACGCTAATGGCAGCGGTGAGGGATCGCGACAGTTTCGCGCCACCGGTTGTTGACCAGCTTTTCACAACTATCCTGAAAGGGAAAAAAGCGAGTATCATGAGGGTGTAAGCGGAAAATAATAGATTCACGCTTACCGCTGTACGTAGTATAAATACATTCACGTTTCGTGTCGTGTCAAAAGGGAGAAAATTCGCCGAGATATAATGGGATGATTCGGCCTACAATACACGTACAGGTACAGGTGTGCGTAATTAATCGTGATAATCCGGCGTAATGCAGCACAGCCTAACGACATTATCTTCTATTGCCTTGCTCCGCACAGACAACCTTGCTCATAATGTCTAAATTAGTTCTATCTGACGTCCACGAAATGACTATACTCAGGTGCGTCGCGTGTGCAGGAAGGAATCGTCGCGATGTTTCATGGAAAATTGTTGCAAATAATCGTTGACTAGCGTACTTGGCCTCTTGGCAACCATTGATCGCGAATCGACGATTAAATGTTGTCGTATTTAATGTATCATATTATAATAAATCGAAACTTCCATTAAACATCGAGTCGACTGTGCCAATCGTTACATTGTTAATAATTCGTTCTCGTTTATTCATTACATCAAATTTTATTCAATATAAATTTTCTCAAATCAATTATTATTGACCTGTATATTATAGAATTTTATAGAGAATCGTTTGAGTTAAGAATCACAGTAACGTAAATCAAAATCCGAGGCAATTGGACAAACATTTTTTATATTAACATATCTAAAATATAATATTCCTATAATTTCAAAACATGTGTTGGGAGTTTCTTAATAGTATCAATCATTATAGAGAAAACATCACGGAGTTACATCGCTGTGATTTTTAGCCTATTTGCCTATCAAAGAACGTAAGACGATCTTGTCGGACCAGGATGTTTCACAGTGTTAGTATTGCCCGTGTGTTTCCAAACTAATCCACTATTTCCTAGGTAGAACAGCAGTTTCACGTATCCGTACACATTGTCAACAGGAATAATCCAGTTTCTGCAAATAATATACCCGGCGGTATTACCGGTGTGATCGAATATCGATGCGAGCGAACAAGTTGGTGCGAACGGTACCAAAAGTACACATCGAGGAATTACCCTACAAAATATGTATATTGTATCGATCCGATAATCTCAATTATTTGATCGTTTATGAGCGATGATATTAATTTCAGTGTGCGTCGTTTGGCAGGAAGTATTTCATTTGTAAACACAACTTGAAACGATGGATAATTTAATACCGCGGTTTCCAACCTGGAGGGCGCGGCTCTCAGGGGAGACGCGGACTATTGCCAGGGGAGCCGCCGGAAACCTTTTAGTAAAAATTTAATGTTCATACCACAATATTTACAAATGAATAAACTTCATATCGTAGCATAACAGTACAAATTCAGTGAAGTTAAACATTACTTCAATTTAAAATTTATTTTTCTTACATTCGTGTACATTTGTTTAATTCTCGTTAAAAAATTATCCAGAGCGGAAGCTCTTACAAATATGCATGTTCGTATTGTTATATTAAAACCTTGTTATTATTCTGTTAATTGTAGTTTTCAGTATTTTTTTGTAATAATGTTATTATTATTTAAAACGTGTATATATTATTATATCTATTAAAAGATAGAAAAGCGCGGAAAAAAGATTTTTTTTAGAGAGGCGTAGTAGCATAAAGGTTGGAAACCGCTGATTTAATGTGATGTTTAATGATATGTCGCTGTCTATTGTATGTACATAAATATATATATATATATACATATATACATATACAAATATAAATATGTTATGGACATCGCACAATGTTAATCTCATTTATGGTTGAATAAAGTTTTCATAAAAATTCCATTTGACTTGAGAATCCGCAGACGGAAGCTGTAATTATTCGCGAATTTTCTAATGACGATGGACAGTTTTTTTCGTGTCAAATGAAGCATCCATTTTATTCTTATCACTATACTATATGTATACGAACATACGTATTCCAGTACGCACCAACGTACATTCTCCTAAAGTTTTTTGCAAATTGACAGATCGATATTCGTGCCGCTCCAGCAAAGGAGATACATGTAGATACGAGTAATGAATTATACTTAGATACTCTTCGGCAACACAATAGACAGCGTTTTTACGACTGTGTAATATAAGACAGGTCTTTATTGAGGTAAAATACCAACGGAATGCGATGGGTTCACGGTGCATAAGCGCTTTCATTCATATCTCTCTAGTTTCCCTCCCTTGCCTTCCCTTGTCGCTTACCATATCTATCGGCTCTCTCGCTCGCAGTGTCTACCCGCATTTACCTCTCTGGAGATGGAGAATTATTTCGCCGTGACACAGTTCGAGCCTTAGTCTCCGATAATAGCTGCATGCTAATGACATTGTTTACCACATTAAAATTACCGTTCCGCTCAATCGGTACTAATTGATTATTACGCCGCATCGAAATTATTCAAGAATTACCGCTTCACTATTAATCGACGCAAAGCAGTGTTCAAGCGATCCTGCTCGATGTAGCGGAACACCGTCGTAGTCGTTCAAAGAATTCTATTGTTCTTGATATCCGAGGAGGAGGTAACTCTCTCTAACGAAAATTAGCCGAAACGATTTACTGAAGACTATTTGTCTGGCGCAGTAGTTGGAACGTAATCGAAACTAAATTTCACAATAGCCATTCTGAATTGTCTCTAGATTGAAGACGGTTTTAATAGCCACTCGATTATGTTTACCATGTATACCATCAAAGGCACTTGATCGAGAAGTTCGATACGAAACTGGAATGCAACTCGAATTACCTTCCCCAACGGTGATTTTACCTTCATGCTACCAGTCTTGCTCGAAATATCGCACTGCCGTTGCACTAGGGAATACGAGGCTTTCGGTCGATGTATTCGAAGGTTAAATGGCCGAATTAAAACATTTACATCATCCGATTTGCATCTCAATGAAATCCGTTCGGTTCGTGGGACCACCATCGTTCCGGGTATCTCCGTTGTATCGTTGACTTGCCTATTACGCGGCAATTAGCGACGTTTAAATTTTATCCAGTCCTCTAGCACTTGTCCTATTCTTTTTTTTTGCTTTTAAGAAACCGTTTCCCATTGACCCGATTTAAAGCTTGCTGGGATCGAATAAAGTGCTGCCCTACAATCAGCACTCGGTTTTCGACCTAAATTTGAATCGTTAATATCGTGTACCAACAGACCTGGACGTCATTATTCCAGAAAGATGACTCTAATCTATCCCGGCCGTTCTCGTCAAGATCGACGGCTCCGATTTTGATTTGTCTTGGATAGAGATTATTACTTCGTGCAGGATCAGTCATGCTTCCAATCCGCCGATATCCATCAGGATATTCCCTGGATTGGAAACCATATTAATAAGTATGCATTTCCCAGGAGAATGTAATTTCAGATATGCAAACTGATGAGTTTCCAAAATAAATTACCAAATAAGAGATCTTACATCTGCTGTTACTGCATCAGGTACGTGAGATGTGGGCTAAGTATCACAGGTATCACGCGTACCCTCTGGCACACGGTGGTATTCAACGTGTTGACTGTTTCAAGGCTTAACCGGACGTAAACGAGTTACAAGTTAAGCATACACAACGTTCGGAAGTTGCGGTTTCGCGAGAGGAGTGTTGTCGGAATAATCACGTTAGAAGGGAGGACAGATATCAAACGTTCTCAGACACAAAGGACGTACACTTGTAGTATATAGTTTCTGCAACGTGTGAGACAAAATAAACACGCTATGTAAACCAATTCTCTGTAGCTTCCTACGCCTCATTTAGGTATCAGCAACCGGACGTTCATCGGCAATTCGGGCAACGCGACGCACGCGCATGATTGTGCATGCTGATAATCGAGCTAGTGCAAACTAATCAAGAATCGCAGAGAATCCTTTGGTCAAAATTTTGTATCGGAAACAGAAATATGTTAATAAATTGAAGTTATTGGCCTAGTGATCGAAACTCCCAATTTAGAGATATTCCAGTAATTTTCAAATGAGAACCAATCGAACGTGCAATAAAATCAATCCGGAATTCTACTGGTATCATGACATTCATCCTCTGGCTATACGTCAGACACTGATGCGTGTTCGCGGCTGCGGCTGTTTCTATTCGCTTCGAACGACTTGCATTTTTGATGGATTTCGAACCAGTCTATCCTATCGCGTCTGCGGCGGATGGGGGCAAGTGAAAACGAGGACAAAGATCGATGCAGAATCCCGGAATGAAGCAAACGAATTAGAAGTTCGCGGCATCAAAACCGTAGAGTGTAAGGAGACATTCCATCGTAATCCCAGTTTGTAACTGTCTGAAGTTTTAATGCACTTAGACAGCGATTCTGGTAAAGGCTATTCAAACTTTATCTTCAGTTGAATCGTCATTCACGTCGCGCTCCTTTATTCGCCTATTCTAAATATACTCGGGTCCTGTTCTTTCAATCCTGCTAGGAAACTGTGCGCAATCCGTGATAAAACCGATAGAGGAAATGTTCCGTTTATGTTTTCCGGGGAGCGAGCTCGGATACAATTTGTTCTCATTACCAACTTTTCGGAATTAACGAATTAATTCTCGGCTATTAGACGTTCGAAGTAGGAGGGTG